GCCTGGGCTCGTCCCGCCGCCCTCGGAGGACGGCCGGCCATGGACGCCTGCAAGTTGGAGCCGAGCGGGAGGGTGTGAGCGCGCCGGGGGCCGGGAGCCCGCGCCGCGCAGCCGGGCAGCCGGGCGCGCCGGGGGTGGGTCCCTCTCCCCAGCCCGGCTCTGCGTGGAAGAAGAGGGCGGGGACCGGCACGGGGAGGAGAGCGGAGGAGGAGAAGGGGGCATGACTCGTGCAACTTGCGGCGGGCATCCACCGAGCCTCTGAGCCGCCGGCGGCCCGGGGCCCGGATTGCGGCCGCGCGGATCCCACCCAGCCCACCCCGCCCCGGCCGACGGCTGCGGCTGACCTGGATCCTCGGAGCGCCCGGCGGCCGGCAGCGATCGGCCTTCGTCTTCCGGACTGGTTTCTGGAGCGCGGGGAGCGCTCTCCTCGCGGCCCCTCTCGCCGGACCCCCGGACCCCGATGGCTCGGATGGGGCTTGCGGGCGCCGCTGGACGCTGGTGGGGACTCGCTCTCGGCTTGACCGCATTCTTCCTCCCAGGTAAGCGCGTTCCTCCTCTGCCTTCCACTCTCCCCCCACCCCCTTCCCCGCCACCATCCAATGCCTTCCCGAGGCTGGGAGCTGGATGGCGGGCACGTCTGGGTTACAGGCAGCAGAAGGAGGCAGAAAAGTTGGGTCACGGCTTAGGTGAGGGGGGTGCGGGTGGCACGGCGGAGAAAGAGAGAATGAGAAGCCTCACAGCCTGCCCTGCAGGGAGGCAGTCGGATGCACGTCTCTGTGTAGCAAGAAAGCACTTTCTCCGCTCTGTTTTTCACAAAAATAATAATATGTAATCGCGTTCTATTTATTTAATAACCAGCTCTCAGCTCGGGAAGCAGTTTGGAAACACTGCATGTTACATAAATGCAAAATAATCGCCGTAATCGCCGTCTCGGGGTATGAGACAACAGCCCCAGGGGGAGGGCGTCAGTCTCGGAGCTGGTGGGCTGCGGGTTTGGAGGATGGCAGGGGGGCTTCGTCTCTGTCGCCGGCCCCTTCGCCAGACGGCTCCGCGCGCTCGGGCCCCCTCCCGCCCCCACGCAGCCACACGCGGGCGCGGAGAGCCGGCTCCTGCGTCAGAGACAGCTTCTCGCTCACCTGCGGTTCCTATCCCGGTGGGTGAGGCCCGGGCCGCGCGGGCTCGCAACCTCCCCGCCTTGCGCGAGCCGGACTTCGCCTCGGAACTCCGCGCCGGGTTTGGGGGCTCTCCCCGGAGGAAGCGCCGCGGGCTCGGTGCCAGCCAGGTGGCTGCATGACCCACTTTCCCGAGGCTGCCCCGCGTGTCCTTCCTCGAGGCGGCCGGCGGCCGAGGGGTTAACCCGATGCCCGACCCTGGGGTGGCCCGCGGTGGCCCATCTGACGGGTGGGGTGGGGGCGGAGGCTGGGACCGGCCCCGGCGTATTGTGCTGGGGAATGAACTGGAAAATGCGTTTAGGAGGCAAATCCGACCGAGTCCCCTCGCCTGGGTTTAACCCTTTGTGTCCCTGGGGAAGCTGCTAGGCTCCCACGGTAGCTGGTGTCACCAGCGGGGGTCAGGGTGGGGGTGGGGGTGCCTCCAGCCCTCCGGGAGGAAACCTGAGACGACCTCCCGCCCGGGCTAGATGGGGGATTTTGTGGGGGAGGGAGGGGGTTGGCTGGAGCACGTGGTCTGGCCTTAGCATAAGGGGTCGGAGTAGGGAGAGACCAGCTCGCATGGGGCAAGAATATCACATCTGGATCGCCGCCGGCAGCGGCCCGTTGGAGACGCCAGCGGTGCCGCAGACTCGCGGGCTAGTTTGTTACCCCGGGGCGAGCCTGGCTGCCGAGGTCCGGGGCTGGGGTGTACCCCTGGAAGGCAGGAACCTGGCCTCATTCAATTCTATGCCCCTTCTGCTGCCAGCTCACTGCCAGGGCTCCACCGATCTGGCTGAATGGCCTATGGTAGCAAAAGCACTTTGTGGAGGCCGGCACCACGGTGCCCCCACCCCTGCAGCCTGTGGGGTGCTGCCCTGCTAGGTGGGGGGGCGGGAGTTCTAGGGCACACAAGCAGCATTATCCATTTCTAGGGGCCTGAGTCGACCCCCCCCCCCTTCCCCCGCAGGGTGGTCGTGGTGAGTGAGAGGTCTTTCTCTCACACCGGACCTCCTGGGAAGCCAGCCAGAGCTTAGGCCCTAGGACTTCTCTGACCACGGGAAGGGGGGGTGCGGTGAGCTTCTGGGAACCCTTCAATTGCATAGTGTCCACACCCAGATGCTAGGGAAAGGAGAGCTTTTGGGGAGCTCTAGCTGGACTGGCACACCAGGGGTTAACCTCGTTCCCATCGGACAAAGAGTGGAAAGGCTTGGGGGCAAAGAATGGACTCACCCCCTTTTCCACTCCTTTCGTTGTTCTCTTCCCCCAGCTTTGAGGTACATAGTGGTTAACTCCTCTGGGGGGTTGGAAGCCTGCCCTGCTCCACCCCACTCAGGAAGTGGGGTCAGGGAGATGGCAGTCTCACCTGGCTCAGTGTAGACACTCCCCTCTCCCCAAAACTGCAGATTGAGGGGTGGGAGGCAGACAGAGAACTACAACTCAGGCACTTAAGCCCTCCTCGGTCGACTGTCATTGTTATGGCCGGGGTAGCATCAGGGGCAGCCAGAATTCATCCCCCCCCCGCTGGCCAAGCTCCCTCGCACACCCGCCTGTGTGCCCTGTGCCCCTGCAAAGGGAGGTGGGCGGGTGTGGTTGTGCCCCTCTGACGCTGGATGGAGGCTGGGGGGCTCAGAAGTTGCCTGCCCACACCCCACTTTCCACCACTCGCCAGCTCCCTCCTGAGTGCTTTCTGTTGCTCCTCTCTGGAGACTTGCCAGCCGGATGCTCTTTTCTGGGTTCTCCTGGGCTGTGTCAGGGAGCATGGAGGGCAAAGAGAGGTCCTCTCTCTGGGGCGAAGCAGGTGGGGGCAGCCCCCAGTGTGTGCGATGGCCCCCTGACTAAAAAAAAATAAAAATAAAAACACTCAATCTGGCTATTGACGTGTAAACACAGAAGTATGTTTTCGACAACACAGCCTTTACCAGGCTGGGTGGTAAAGCCCTCCAGCTTCAGAGATAACAGTCTGTGGTTCCTACAGGTCAACTCAGAGGAGATGGCCAGGGGAGCATAGGGACTACACCCCCGAAGAGGGACAGGGGGAGCCCTGGGGAGGAGGCAGAGAACCTGCCTCAGAAGCAGGTGCACCGAGCCGGTGTCCCACCTACACCACACCCTCCCTAATTGGCTTCCCCAAACCTTTTGTCTGGAAAGAGAACACACACCCCAGGTGTCGTGCACACCCTCGGAAGACCTGTCGGGCCCGCGGCACATCCCTTCTCTGCAGTCTGTACAGAGCCTGCAGAAGGTGGTTTCCTTCAAAACTCCGAGTGTCGGAGCTGCTGGGCTGTCTTCCTCTCTCCCCATTTCTCACAGACAGTGATGTGCTCAGGCTTGCTGGGCAGGACATTATGGCAAAACCAATTCTGCCGGCCTGGGGATTACAGCGTGTGCGAACAGCAATCTCAGTGCCCGCTTTGGAGGCTGCGCCATAGAGAGTGTCTCAGAATCAGATTCAAGGCCTGACAGTCCGAGCTGGAGGGGAGGAGAAGATCTTGCAGAGCCTGGGCCCCGCAGCCCTGGCTGAGCAGCCCGTAAGGCATCTCTGAGCCTGAATATCTGTGGCTCAGGGGGACAGGTGGTCCCTTGTTGCCCGATGCCGGCCAAGATGATGATACCAGTTCCGGTCTCAGCCACTCAGCTTTGCACAAGGAACCCACCTACTCGTTAGCCACTTCCTGACCCAGGACCCCGTTGAATGCTGCCAGGACGGTCATACCAGCCAGCAGAACCCTGGTGCCGATGGCTCAGCAAGCGAGCAAGTGGGCCAGGCTTGGGGGGGCAGGGGGTGGCGCGGGGTGGGGGCACGGGCAGAGGGTCTGCCCCCTTTGCTGCGTCTTACGATACTGCCATTGTTTAGCAGCTGACTAACGTCCATTGTTCGGCACAAACAGAAAACACCCGAGGGAGGTGTGAATATACCTTCGATTTTCCTGATTGTGTCTTTTCCTGGTTAACCTGGTAACTTGAATGGCTCCCACCTGGGGGAGGGACAGACCGAGGGGGTACCTGTGTATTCGCCTGTTTTACCGTCGTCGTCGTCGTCGTCGTTGTTGTTTTGACTCTGACCGTTAGCCCGCGTGCCGGACTAGACTGGACACCAGCCAGCTGCGGCGCTCCGGCGGTGACATTGCTGACAGCCTGCGTATCGTCTCACCATCCGTGTGGATTGGCACACACACGTGCCCGGCTTTGTGTGCTTGCGTCGGTGATCTGCAGTCCCCTGTGCACGGGCAGACCCACGGGCGCGAGGGCGAGGAGGTCTTGGGCACTGGTGGCTGTGGGTCGGCACGGGACCAGGGCTATAACGGTGTATCAGGTGTATATTCACATATAACTGATCTCTTCTGTCTTTCCCGCTAGGATTTTGTGAGTGGCTCTGAGCCTTGATAAGACCTGTGTTGCTGTCACAGGGTCAGAGAGGTGATTTTGGGAAGAGACCTAGGACTTCCCAGGTGGGCTGCTGGGTCCTTTGAGAGCGGGAAGCCTTTACACTGGTTTCTTTTTCTGTTCTTGCCCTTGGCGTTACACTGGGCCTCTGCATGCTCACCTGGTGAGGAAGGAGGCTTTCCTGTCTTGTCTCCCTGGCACATGGTATCTGGATCCTGGTGCTGACTGGGGCCTGGCTTGCCCCACGGCTTCTCGAGATCCCTAGAAGGCTGGGAGGGGCCCCGGGAGATAGGTTTGCAGCTATTGATTTGGCATCTTTACTTTCTGCGTGAACACTTGGGGGAAAGGGGATCATCTGAGGAGAAAGGTGGCCTACTCTGGGCATTTTAAAAGGGGCAGGAATGTGGGTTTGGGTCCTCCACAAAAATAGCCCCGTGGAACCAACCACAGGCGTACTCAGGTCGGCAACATACATGTGCCTGGAACCACCCTGGGCTCCGCGCAGCAGAATGGGAGAGCCCCCTTAGAGGGAATGAGGGGCGAGAGGCAGGGAAGAACTTTGCCTGTCCTGGGAACCCAGGACCCCGTGCCCAAGACCGGCTGGCAGGTGTTTCTCCCCCACGATGCCCGCCCCTCTCCATAGAGACCAGGTCTGCCCAGCCAGCAGCAGATGTGCTGGCGGGGGCAGGAGGTAACTTAAGATCTGAGCAGGGATCACTTTGCAGAGGGAATGCCCTGAGTTGGAGATAACACCCCTTAGTCCAGTTAACCCTTGAAACTCTGGATTGTGCTGATCTGGGAGGTGGGGAGAGGGAAGAGGTGGGAAGAAAACACATCAAGCCTAGCACCTGAACCCTGACCCGTTCCCGAAGGACAGATGAACACAGTGCAATAGGGGAGAGACCCGACAAGGACACAAAGGAAGTGTTCCTGGTGGCAGATGACGGACTCTTTACTTTAGGGCAGTGGATAATCCCAAGGTTTATCCTTGAATGGGGGAGGGG